CAAAGTGGGATTGACAGGGCTAAATTGTTTTTTAAAATGCCATTTAATATCGAGTAATGCATAAATTTTGAATGTGCAAAACATCTTTTTATGTCTAAAAGGGGTAAACATGGAGTCCAAGTTTTTTTTTAAAAAGAGAGGTTTTTTGTTTGTTTGTTTGTTTGTTTGTTTGTTTTACTAGCAATTTTTCAGGAGTATTGGTGAAGTTTGAAAAATCCTGCAATAAAACAGTGATTCTGATTACTTTCATTTGTAAAAATGCCACAGTTCAGACAAGATCGGTTCAGTTGATTTGGTTTTGTGGTCTACAGGATGTTATGTAAAGTGACGTATGAAATCCCTTCTTCTCTTTCATTCAAAAGCATGTTGGCATTAACAACTTTTCCAACATGCTTTACATATATACCAAACAAACAAATACAAATGCAGAATGTGATGTTTTATTAATTCAATTCTATCCATTCTTCTTAGCATAGGGGAATAAGTATTTGTTGTTGCAACGCATGATGTCAGAACAACAGAATGGACGTTATGAAACAGCTAAGTACGCACTATGTTGGAAATGATATTGTGCAGATGGAGAGTGGTGTCATAGACCAGAAATCACAAGTCGGTGTGTCCAGTGTTTGCTGCGCATCTGCGATACAAAGAGTTAGTGAGGCTGACATTGCTGCTTGTGGAAGATTGTCTCAGTCTTCGGTGAAGTCGGTGGACATTTGGGGGAAAAGGATCACGCTGTCAAACACGTCCACTGAAAACTGTCAGAAACAATTTCTTAGTTTACAAATAGGGGAGATGACTGAATAATCTGGCTTCGATTCTAACTGACATGGCAGCACCCCGCATGTCGACGGCCTTTTCTCAGCTGTCTCTTGTTGTCTGTAGCTTTGTCTTATTTGAATGACGTTTCAATTTGAGGTGTACTTTTATAATCACCGGGATAAGGAGTGTCACTGTGTGATTATTGCCCTCTAAAGCCACACCTGATTTGGTATTGATTACCCTAATGAGCAAATGTTTGTCACCAGCCAAACAGCTTAAAAACATTACATGCACATCTGGCTAAATGCATGGGTTTTCTAACCACGGCAGTAAAAAATTGATTTTAGACCTTTTCTCAAAATCAGAAAAGAAAATTATTTATATGCTGCATTTATAATTTTGTTAAGTGTTGACCTGTCATGTTTCTTGTACATTCTTCTCTTTTGGAGCTACATGGCAAGTTAAAACAAAAACAGACATATTTAAATCTCACTTTAGTTTCAACAGCTTTATTGTTTGGGTCGAACATTGTTACCAATGTGAGAGGAAGCGTTCTCGGAGATACTTAGTTCTCATTTCTAACCTCTATGGGTCCTCTTTTGTAGACTAATGTTGTTCAAAGTCGCTGTACTTTGTAGTTAAATCAAGTTAACAAACTATTTATGGAAACCAGTGGCAGTGTCAAAGAGTGAAGAACATCTTTTGAGACTGCTGTGCTGTGAATTTAAAAGTAATATTGGGTTTTAAACACACATACACACTGATACTGTACAACGCTATGCGGATGTGTGTGTGTGTTTGGGAGGGAGATCTGTGCTTTCACGTGCGCTCGGTGAGGATGAGCGGTCAGCCTCTTCCTGAGGGTCTTTTGTCTTTTTCGGCCTGCTGGGACTCAGACAGACCACGCCTATCATACCTGATTGTTTAGTGTGAGGAGCCCAGAGAGCCGCACAGATGGGAGTTTGTATTTGTGTTTGTATTCCTGTGTGTGTAGAAGTGTGTGCGTTGACAGTGGGGTCTTTTACAGAAAGCCAAATCTTTGATGTGGTGTCGCAGCTGACCCTCTGGTCACTCTCACGCTACTGTCCCCGACACAATGGACCGAAAAAGACTCATGTTTGTCTACGCACATACATACGCGCACACATGCACGCGCTTACACTTACAGCGGTAAAGGAATGATCCTTTTTCATATATTTACCAAACATATAGCTTGTGCAAAGATGGATAAATAGACATAGTAAAAAGTGTTCAAACCAACATTCATCTAGAGTTTAAAAAACCAAACTCAGTCATTTTATTTGTCAGATATATCATAAGGTGCAGACGCAACTTTTAATTTTTATGTTATACTTTATGTCAGAATCAAGAGGAAGGCAGCAGGAGCATAATTATCCTGCTGATGCTATATCTGCATAGCAAGGAGAAGAAAAAAATTTGTAGATTCAGGCTGTTGTAAAATAACCCCTTTATTACATCGGGTATTTATTTTTAGGGTCTTAAACATTATGGACCATTCTAGCAAAATGACGTCTTATAAAATTAGAAAGAATTTGCTCATGTGCTTGAATAAAGCTAATAAAGTGCAGATGGGCTGTTGGCTTCGACACACACATCACCCTCATTTAGATCAGGAAGAAGCTTATGGGAGAAATAAATCAATCAGACATTAACCACAATCTTTGGAAGTGGAAATGTAGAGTTTCTGCCAACTGAGCCACCTCCTACTGTTGCTACATCCAGAGCCTCACTTTGTCACTGAGGATACTATGACTTTCACATTAAAACCACTGACAAGTGAAGAGAATGACACTGATCAACCTCAACAATGTTCCAGACAGCAGTGGCCTCCTGCAGGGTGACAGTGCTCCTCACAATGTTGCAAAACTTACTCTGGAGAAGCTGGAGGAGCACAACCAAGAGCCCAAGATGTTGGCCTAGCCTCCAAATCTCAATCTGATCAAGCATCTATGATGATCCTAAAGTCAGATCCTTGGATGCCCCACTTGGCAAAAAACACAAAGAAGCCGCTGCCAATAGTCTGATGTGATGATATTCTACATACCTTCAGAAATGGTTTAGTCTCCACATCCTGGCACATGTCAAGTTAAACAAAGGATTATCCAAATTTGCTTTTTCTTGTGAAATCAAAATGCCTTTTGCCCTTTTGACATTATCCACGTCAAACTATATTTCATGGTAAACAAATGCCTCTGTGGGTATGTGTGCTTATGAAGGCAGGAGAATGATAGCTCTGAACATACGACAGTGTCGGTGTAACTTGTTTCCTAAACAGCATTTCAAAAAGCATGTTTGAGCTCAAACACATGATTCTGCATGCTGCGTAGGAGCTGGAATATGAGAAAATCAATACTGCATAGGACCGCTATCAGACGGTTATACTGTCTGATCGAGTATGTTGGACAGAATAGACGTAAATTGAATTTTAATCAGGAGGTCACAAACAAACTGGGCTAAAATCATTGCATTCTGAATCTGTGTATCTTTGGAGCATACCTGAATCTAAACTGTGTTGATGCTAATGCTGAATTAGACTTTTCTGCGACTAGTTTTGACGCTCCAGCAATGCACTGCACAGACAAAACATTTTAACTACACACAGAAAATTCCTCTATATCTCCGTGAGCTATTTTAAGGAAAGCTTGCAGCACAGTTGATCCTCAAATTCCCCTGCCTTACCACTTTACTAACCCCTATCACTCTGTCCTCTCCTGCTCACTCACTTTCTTTTCCCGTTGCACTCATTTCCCCAGTTTTCTATTTTTGCGCATTGTGCAGGTCTTGGCTGATGGGTCTTGTGATGTGCTTTTTTTTTATGTGAAATTGCATTTTCTTGGTTGCTTCTCCGCTTACATTCTCTTCTCAGGCCGCCTCATTTCACGCCCTCGACATTGTCTTTGCATTTTTCAGGATCCGTCTTCCAACCTCCTTTCTCCATTTAACACATTCTCCTTACTTTCTCTCAAATAAAAAACACAACACCAAAGGGCCACTGTCTATTTTTAAACGTGCACTTCATCTAACTGGCATGACCTTCATCATTTGTGTTGTCGTGCATCCAATAGGCATTTATTTCCCAATGGTGCCAACCAGTACAATTTAAGCCTAGATACTTCTTGTGCAATAATAGTGCCGTGAACAAATATACATTTAGACCAGAACTGGTTTCACGCTGCATTGGCCTTTCAGAGAAAAATCTGGAAGGAACGGCAACAAAGCAAGAAAGCAAGTCTCCTCATAGGCCTCAACTGTGTGTTAACTCTTTGTTATCACCTCGGCCTGATTTCTGTTGCGAGAGGAAATAGAGAGAGAGACAGATAGAGAGAGGGACAGAGAGGAGGAGATGTGTATACGTGCGGAGCTGCACTAGTCAGTGTTACACAGTCTGGGGGATTCCAGCCAGCTGCACTGGGAGCACTGACCTTGGCAAAGACTACTCTGTTTTTCAGTCTCTGGGACAAACAAGTGTTAGATATAAGTGTCAGCCGGTCAGCTCACAAATGATTTACTGAGATTAATGAACTGAGAAAGGTTACTGCTTAACAAGTGTACGCACAAATTGACAAATATACAAGAATGAGAATATAAAAGAAATGGGTTTTTTTAATTTACAGATGCGCTGTTTTTGACCGAGTTACGCAATTCTGTCTCTTTTCATTACATAAACACTGCATTGTAAGCCGTAAAATACGATGTACCAACTCTACAGGATACAGGATGAGAAGCTGTCGGGGTTATTTAATGCTGCAGGTGTGTGAATGTGTTTGTTCCACGCTTGTTTTTTCCTATAATTTCAGTGCGGCTTTCCTTTTGATCTCCTGGAACATGGACACCCTGATTTATTTTGAGATGACCTGTTTTCTCTGACCTTAACTCTCACACCTAAATCAAGAGCTAACTGATTGCACACATGCGTGCTTTAAGCGTATGTTATAGTGATCACTGCCGGTGTCTGCTCAGCATTCAGTTCCATGCAAGATATCAAACATTTTGCGAGCTCTTCAAACACTTCCTTGAGTGGTACAGGAACTTGCTTCTCCCTTACAATCAAAGCCAAACAATGATTCATCATTCATCTCTCACTGCTATGAAAACAATGGTATCATTCTTGCAGCGGTATCTGACTTCTGTGGTTGCTTGGCAGTGGCAAAACTTGGAGGGCCTGTGTTATTTCCCGTCATCTCGGTTCACTGCGTAGGCTGTGTGACTTGAAAATGAACTCATTCAGTCCAACGCTGGCTTCTAAGTGTTTCCGTTGTCCCTTTAAGCACGCTATCTCTTCTGATTTTTTTCGTTAGAGTTAACCTTTGGCCGACTGTGTTGTCGAGGAAAAAGCTGCTGCAGAGTCACACACTTCCTATCGTGTCTTGTTTCTTGCCAATAAAATGTGTCACATCTCCCTATCAATGGCAGTAAAACATATTGACCAGTTTCTATTGCCCTTTTTAAAATGTTCTTTCACCTTTACACTGCAAGAATAACACGGTGATCACATGATTCGTGACAGTTACCTCGTGCGACTGATGTACCGAGATGATTAATAATGAACCACCCACATATAAAACATTTCTCAAAGTCCGTGAAGCCAAACAAAGTGTTAGTCGTCCTGCTGATCCTAAAATGTTTGTTCTTATTTCTTGCGCCAACCAACATTCATCCATCCCATTATCTATACACCGCTTAATCCTCACTAGGGTCGCGGGGGGGCTGGAGTCTATCCCAGCTGACTTAGGGTGAAGGCAGGGGACACCCTGGACAGGTCACCAGTCTATCACAGGGCTACACTTAGAGACAGACAACCAAGCACACTCACATTCATGTCTAGAATCACCAATTAACCTCAACATGTTTTTGGACTTGTGGGAGGAAGCCGGAGAACCCGGAGAGAACCCACGTTGCACGGGGAGAACATGCAAACTCCACGGTGTTCTCACTGGGACGCAAACCGGCGACCTTCTTGCTGCTACCCACCTTGCAGCCCGCCCACCAACAAACCCTATTAAATATATGTAACGTGACCGCTTTTTCATGAGTAACTATTACATTTCTGTGTGATTTCTTTTCTTGAAGCTTTATTTTGGGGTTTAGAATTCACATCATGAAGCATTTATTGTGTCCAAAAACTTATACATGTATTGTGTTCTGCTATGTAGTCCACACATGTGAATAAAACGTTGTATAAAAGTTGTTCTGCTGTTGTTTAATCTAGATATGAGCAGAGTCATAAAGTCAGAACAAAAGTTGGCCTTTTCACCCACACAGATGCAGTACAAACCAGATCTAAACTAAAACTATGATCTCTGACTGTGAAGTGCTCTTTGCTCAGCTGAGTTCAATCGCCTGACAAATGTTGCAGTCGGACACAATCGATCAGAATCCCAATAGGCGTGTTAGAGACCTCAACCTATTTCACCACATCTTCTCTTTAGCCTCATGATTACTCACTGTTGTTTAACCACCTCCTCGTGAAGAGTGTTTGAATGAATGGTTCAACATTTTGGAAAATAGTTTCTTTCTTGCAAAGATTCAAATGAGAATATGAACACTTTTCTTGTGTTTGCACAGTAAATATGAGCCAGTCGGTTTGCTTATCGTAACACAAATCTTAGCTCAAAGACTTTAAAACAGGAGGAAACAACTAGTCAGGCTCTGTCCACATGGTAGCAAAATCCATCCACCAGCAACCTCAACACTCATCAATCAACAAGTTCGATTTCATGTCATTAATTTGTGCAAAATGAAAGTGAAAATGTTTAGTTGTATGAGGCTAATGTGACCTCATTGAGTCTCCACAGCGGTTAATATTTAGCGGCTATACATACAGACGTACGTGCAAAACCTGTAATGCACACTGCCATACACAAACAGCATCGACCTACATGTAGGTAGATACAGTATACGTGCAGTATGTATTTATAGGTTGTATCACGGCAGGGAATACAAACATGCAAATGCCTGTGAATGATGTTTATGGCCTCCAAAGCCTCATTGTGAGTGACTGCTCACTATATGCTGAAGATGATGACCCTGTACAAACATGCTGTTGTACATTTGCATAAAAAGCATACCTGCTGATACGTGAGATCCCCTCAGCAGCTTCACACAGCCGCTGTCCATCTATGGACTGAGACAGGGCCGCACTGAAAGCAAGGGATGGATGTGGCGTGCCAGTGTTGTGTCAATACCCTCTGTCCCTAATCCATGAGGGTGAGGCGCTAATCCAGTGACCTAACCCCTGGCCTGGCTTCATAAACAGCACATTACCTCATTTCCTCCGGCTATGCAAATATATAGGTGGACAATAACATGTTCGGTGTAAGCAGAGATAGCTCTCCCTTGGGTTTAGTGCTGAGGTCAGAGGAGTTTGTGCATCGCGCGTGCTGCAGCAGACATATCAGTGTCAATTCTCATACATATAGCTGGAAATTATACAACAGCTGACTGTCAGTATTCTGTAGGAAGTGCCCTCCTTTAAGGCCTGAGCAAATATGTTGTAAGAAACATTTTGAAAAGTAGAAATTTGTCAGCTGATTTAATTTTTTTTAATAAATCTGGTTGCACTAGGCCTTTGTGTGCAGCACAATAACTGATTAAGAGTATTTCTTGTTTTTTATGTGAATCTGACTTTTAATAAATGATCTTTTCAGTCAAATTCCAGTTAAAAATACTATATACTGTTTAGTATCTGCACTCGTCTCTGTCGTTCTTTCTGTCTGCTATAAAAAATAAGTGTGAGTAGGCATGTGTGTGACTGGTGGATTCATTTAAAGCCTAAAAGCTTTGTGTGACCTTCAGTGTGGAAGGAAATCTTGTCCACATCATACAGTATATATATACTGAACTTTCTGAGGAACTGTGGTTTCTAGCATTGAGCCAACAACATCAAATGTAGAAATCCCATTTTTAGACAATAAAGCCATCAAAAAGGGTGACATCATTTTAAGCAATGGGTGTTTTTAAGTAGATGTAATAAAATGAACATCTGATAGATAGATAGCTAGATAGATAGATAGATAGATATATAGATAGATAGATAGATAGATAGATAGATAGATAGATAGATAGATAGATAGATAGATAGATAGATGAGGAAACAATATTAACAAGCAAATCATGCACGTTGAAGAAACAGAAATATGCCAGCATGTACACTAAAACAGAGTATTTGACCAGTACAAAAAGGTACAACGTCAAAATAAAATAATAATAAGCATATAGGAGGGGTGCAGTGCATGGGTTCTGGTGGACCAGGACTACATAAACAAAATGTTAGTACAAATTATTATTGTTGTTGTAATTCAATTATGCATTGTTATAGTTTCATAGACAAATGAGGTTCCACCTCAACAAGCTACAGCATTAAAATATACAAATGGATGCTTTAATATAGTGAAACAAGTACAGGGGACATTTTGGACTAACTTTACATCCTTATGCATTTTGACATGTGACTTTCTCAGTGCACTTCCCACGTGGGTTTTACACCTTGTAGCATACAGTAAGCAAATGCATAGTAAAAATCTAACAGCAGATAGATGTTTGACTGTGCAGATTCTGTTGTAGAATAATGTCAACAACAACAACAACAAAAAAAAGCAGCTTTTATCGTGGGTTATGGTATGGGGCGGATGGTGCAGCTGAAGGTCGGCTGTAGTAGCGCGCGGTCACATGGCTGGTGTGCATGTAAATGACGTGAGAGAGAGAGAGAGAGAGAGAGAGAGAGAGAGAGCGAGGGGAGGAGGAGGAGGAGGAGGAAGAGCAGAAGGGGGGGAGGCAGACACAAACCGGGGGACGCTGTTTTCGCTGATTGAGGGGACCTTGTGCGACTCCCCAGCATCTCGCATCTCCCCCCCCCCCCCCTCCCGCCCCTCGTCCTCCGGTTCGGGGTTTAACGTGTCACGGCTCCAAACATCGGCCGCCGTCAGCACCTGGATTTTATTTATAACCGAAGCAGAAAAAATTGGATGGGACGCACACACCACGGGCAAGACAATCCCGGAAATAACATGCGTACTCTCAGCCTGTCACGTACGCTCGCCGAGGATTTGCATCGCTGCAGGCTGCCGTAGGTAAGCGACAAGACTTTGTTTCTACATTTACCATCACCGCCTGCTTCTTTTCTGATTTTTATTTTGTCAAAATAAAAAAATCTAAATGAAAAAAAAATCGGAATCAATGAGCCGATCGTGATGTTATTCTGCCCCATTGTTAAGAAGCGACTCTTTAAGTAACTAACTTGGTGATCAATAGCAGACAAAGACAAATAAGTGTTTTTAAGGGTGTTTCACTAAAATGCATCTTTTAAACCGAGGGGGAGCTTGTTTTAATAGCACAGATGTTGCATTCGGTGCAGGATAATTTCATTTTTGGTTGATTTTTGGGGCATTTAGAAGAACATCTTAACAAGCAGCAACTCTGGCTCTGTTTTCTTGCCCCACTTAACTGCATTCAGACCTACAGCCACGTCCAGTGTGCTCTATATGTTTGTTGGCCTACATTAATATTGTGTATTTATGTACTTGTGTGACAGGTGGTCCACACCGGGCTATAAATAGGCCTAAAGTGTATCATTTGACTCCACAGATCTCCAACATGTTTATAAGACGGATGCAAACAAGAGCGCTTTAAGAGAGTTTTTTTTTGTTGTTTTTTTATAGTTAACAAGAGCAATGGGTGAACTAAAAGCCGGACGGGGACATGAAAGTTGCAGCTTCGACCGGGCTCTTGTGCATCAGAGGCAGCAGCGGCGGCTCAGCTAGAAAATGAGGCGAGGACGTGGAGTACGTGCGCACCCAGCAGATGACGAGATGAAATGGAGAGTTTGGGACAGGCGGACCTTTTAAACCCAAGCTCTTCCCGCGGATCCGTCGCTGTTTCACCCCAGCAGGAGAGAAGGACGAAGCAGCTCGCCTGTTTGCCGGCAGAGATCCACCACAGCCAGCACCGGGCGGACATGGGGCTCAACGGGTTGTGCGCTTCGCCGGTGGTGAGTCCGACGGCCGCGGAGTTACTCGCCGATCTCGCCTCTCAGACCGACTCCCCCGGAATCACGACCCCGACCAAGCTGTCCAAAACCGGCGTGCCGCTCTACAACGGCGGGGAGGTGTCTCCTTCCGCCACCGTGGAGGGGAACCACTCGGGCGTTTTGGCGCACACGCCCAATGGTTACCCCGCACAAGTGAAAGGGGTGGCGGGGCAAACAGGTAGCCCCGGGTACCCCCTCACCAGCAGGGCATGCTTGGTGGAGAATGGAGACAGGACTGCTCATGAGAAGTGCCCTTTAGTGGTGAGGAGGATCAATGGGGACTTGAAAGCTAGACAGGCTCAGCAGCAGCAGAAGAGGAGGGGAGGGGAGAACTGGGACTTTGGGGCAGAAGCCCTTAATGGTCCTTTAACAGGGTCATCGGGTGGAGGAAGCTCTGCTGACCCGCTGTTTGCTTCAGGGGAGATTGACTTTAAACGGAGGAGGCTGGTGGATGGAAGTGTTGCAAACAAATCTTCAGAGAACTCCAGGGTGACCCGAGCGGTCGCCCCTCTCACGGTCAGTTCCCACAGCAGCCAACCCCTCGCTCCTCTGGCCCCACTGGCCCCTCACACTAACCAGCACAATGGACACAAGGTGGCAGCTTCAGGCTTGCCGGCTGCACCCAGCCAGACCTCCATCCTCGCCCCGCCGCCTCCTGCGGGGAGCGGCTGGTCGGCGGAACGCATAGCCCAGCAGTACATTGTCCCCTGCATGAAGTACTACGGCATCTGCGTGAAGGACAACTTCCTGGGCGCCCAGTTGGGCGACAGGGTGTTGGAGGAGGTGGAGGTTCTGAATCGCAGTGGGAAGTTTCGGGGTGGGCAGCTGGTGAGCCAGAAGAGCATTCCCTCCCGGAGCATCCGGGGCGACCAGATCGCCTGGGTGGAGGGGAAGGAGCCCGGGTGCGAGAACATCGCGGCGCTGATGGCTCACATCGATGAGGCCGTCATGTACAGCGCTGCCAACGGACAGCTGGGGAACTGTGCCATCAATGGACGCACTAAGGTGAGAGACAGGTGGGGTTACAGGGGAGAGAGCTGGGGTAAACAGAGGATGCAGAAAAAACAGCCAGTGTGACATCATTAAAGTTGGGGTTAGCTGATTGTGTCTTGTCTGTTCTGCTTTATCTTTGTGTCTGTGATGCCGACATGCAGGCAGGCAAACACACACTCACAGCGGCAGGGTGTCACATGGGTGTACAGAGGGTGGGCCTTGTGCCTGGGTTTGGGCCTGCCTAAATTTGCCCCTGTCCCTGCCTTCATGCCACTGATGCCCAGGAGGAAAAAAGCAAACTCTCTGTGGCTGTATCTCCTCTGCCATGACTTTATCTCTGCCAACATTTTCTATCATCACACAAGCTTGGTCCTGGCATGGCAGAAGAAGAGGGGGCTTTTTTTAGTTGTTGTTGTTGTTTGTTTGTTTTTGCCTCTTTTATCTGATATCTCAAGCCACGTGACCCATGTTTTTTTTATCTCAATCCCACCGTGACCACACTGCATGCCTCGATTTCTCTTTTCCATTGAATTTTTTGTCAAATGCCATGCACAATTACTGCAGCGCACTCCTTAAGATATTGGAACTAAACTTCTCCTTGAAAAAAAACAACCCACTTCCATAGAGTTGAAAAAACCCAGAATTAACTCCATCAGACTTTCTGCTCGTGTGTTCGTCTCTATCTGTGTGTGTTCTGTCACAGTGATTGTGTTTCTCAGGATATAGTTTCATGGTCCGTCTCCCTATCAGCTGTGAGTTAACCATTACACACTGGTCTAGACTGTTACTCAACTTGTTCTGAGTGTTTCAGCAGGACCTGGGTTCAAGATTTAGAGTATAACACCTCCAGATAATGGATATTTAAATAGTTTGAAATGCAGCTGCTCTTCATAAATGTTCATTCAAGCCTTTTTTTTTTTTTACTTTGCAAGTCAATCAAACTGGATAGAAATGATGACTTTACATGTTCAACTGTCCCCAGGTGGAAGATAAAACCAGGAGGGTTCCGATCTGAAACGTAGACGCAACATTACTTCTCCCTATGGGGAAATTAGGTGAAAGCTGTTACCTGCAAGCTGGCAGACTCCTGCAGTCTTTGCTTAATCAGCAGACCCACAAGTGAGACTGTTAAATAAATGTTAAGAAATATACAATCGTGCAGCAAAGGGACCAGTAGTTACATTCAATGTCTACGACCAAACTAAGCCACAAATGTAGGAATTTGTACCCAAACGGTCACTAGTCATGGGGGGCTTTTGTCTTCAACCTGCTCCATGTTTGATAGGAGAATCTACAGCGTGTTCCTCTGTCTTCCTAAAGTATTTGCCCCACAGCTTTTGTTCACTCCGTCTGTTGAACACCCCACGTAGCACCTTGGCCTCGATGCACCTCTAGTCATTTACATAAGCTCGAGGCGGTGTTTAAACAAGGGCCGCGGGCCGACTGCACATCGGCAGCCTTTGCTCCCGTGCGGCGGTGACGCTGCTTTTGTGCAAGGTCGAGGAAATATATAGCGCATAATTACAGCGTATAGAGAAGATCTGTTAAATACTTCAGCGCCTCTGCAAATGTGCTCCTAGGAGTGGAGAATACTAGAAGCTCATTCCTACTGTTGAGCAGCATTCTGCTGTGGCGAATGCAGCTCATGAAAAGATGTGAAAACCCTCTTTATCTTTTGACACTTAAGCTTCCTTCATGACTGAAGCGGATTTAATCTGTGAAATCAATGATGCGTCTAAAGTGTCACCTCAATTCAAGCCCCTGTAGCTTCATATGCAAAACTGTTTCAAGTACCAGAACTTTAATTGCTAATCATCGATGCAGACCTTAATGACGGGAGTTTAAAACGTCTCGACGCGCGTTTCTGTGCTTGTTTCACTTGGAGAGCTGCTTGTCTGAGGTCAGAAAGCAGTCAAGAGACGCACATGGGAATAGTTTCCAGGGCTGTACCGGTTTATTTTGGTTGATAGCTCATTGGATTGCAGGATTTTAGTTTTCAAGACGTCACGCAGTTACCCATGGCCCTACTAAGTTATGAATTCTCTTTTATTAGGCGTGGTAATGACTAACCCAGTGATTCCTTTTTGTGGAAATGTTAGATTTCTGGGTCAGATCGCTCAATTTTTGCCCTTGGTTATTACGAAACATGTTCCTCGCTACACTGTACAAAATGTCCTGGTTGGGCGTTGCTGTGGGCGAGTGCAGGAGACAGTGAAGGAACAATGATGGAGTGTGCATGAGAGAAAGAGGAAGTGATGGGAAAGAGAAATAGGAGGCTCAGCTAGACAGAAGGTCACTGCGTCTTTTCCGTCCTCCAGCGACAGCCGTACCCCCGAACCTTCTATTGTTTCTCGCCCGTTTTTCCACTTTTATCCTCACCTCCTTTTTTCTTCCCCCCCCCACGTCTTTCACTTCACTCCCTTCCTCCTTCTTCTTATCAAACCCCTTGTTTGCTAGTTGGACAAAATATTCCCCTGCCGTTTCCTTGGTAACAGGCCCATACAGAGCGGAGCTGCGCATTGTGTACGGCAGCGATGGAGAGAGAGAAAGAAAGGGGCTGGCAGTGCCTAAAATAATGCCTCACCAGCAGCGAGTAGTATTCCTGAACCTGGCCTCCTGTTAGTCAGCAGGAGTCAGGTTTTGCAGCCGGTGAGACGTGCGGCAGGAAGGATTACAGTGTCAACAAAAGGAATAGTAATGCGCTGAACCCGAGGTGATGGTGGGAGTAGTCTCGTGTTATGGGGGGGAAAGCACAACTGAGCACGGGGAATGAGACACAAGCGAGTGGGAGGGGATAGACTGGAAGTGAGAGTGGAAAGGGGAAAAGAGAGGGATAGGGAGTGGGAGGATGGTGTGGAGCGAGCGAGAAGGGGCGATGCAGTAAAAAGCTCTGGCATAATAAGATCGTCTGCTGCAGCAACGTGTCCTCAGATGCCCCTCTTGGCTCAGCAGTGCCACCATGCAGGCAGGAGGCATGCACTTACACGGCTACATGCTAGCCTGGGTGGATGGTTAGGGAGATAAATCTGCCATTTTGCTCAAATCTGGTTTCACTTCAGACAATCCAGAGGAGCCTTGACAATTTTGATTCTTATATAACCAGTACAGGGCGCTTCCATGATGCTGTCAGTGATTGTTGTTGGTGCCGTACCAACCGATGATCTGTTGTTAGCTGGTGTAGAACAGATGCACTTTTTTTTTTAGCATCCCAGTGGCTGTGAGTAATGCCTCAGTTTTTGTCATGCATGATGGCACTGTGGGAAGTTTGAGTTCATCAATATTACAATTGAAAACTGGAGGAAAAAACAAGTAGTCCAGTTGTTTGTTTTCCAGCATTAGAGATAAAATTGGTCAATTAATCAATTCATTTACTGAAAAATAACTGTTTTGGTCATTGATGCAAAATATTCTCTGGTTTCACCTTCCCTGATGGGAAGATTTGATGCTTTTATCTGTTTTATCTTGTTGTAAAGTGACTATCACTGGAGTTTTGATAGCTGGTCCAGTGAAACAGGCAATCACCAACTATTTTTCAGGCACATCACATTCATCTAATATCACCAGCAATGAAAATTATATTACGTTGGAGCTCTATAATCCACCTTACACTCTTAATTTTATGTAGGGTCCCTGCTGCCTCATATTCCTTTTTTTTAGTCATATTTTTTCCTATGTGTTGTTGTTATGTGCCAACACACATTTACAGTGTGTAGATTACTACTAGTTTATTTTATAAATTTCCAAAATATCTTTTATAAACTATAGGTTGTATAAGACACTAATATTTTTTTAGAGAAAATGCAAGTACATTGTGTTCACGGAAACACACGCAATGTTGCTGCCTCATAATGTTCAGCGGTGACTCATGCATAATAAGTGCCACTGTGGCCATAGTGACACTGACTCATAAGAGCAGAGCGCAATTTCCCACCTTTTTTTCTTTTTTTGGTTTCATGTCCACATAACAGAAATAAAAGTCTAAATGCTAAATTATTTATTTCTGAATGTTTGCACCATTTATCCCCATGTATACAGAAAAAGCTGTAACGTGTGAGTATCTCAGCCTGTTTTCCTCCATGTGTCTGTGCAAAACGTGCTCTGCCAAGCTTCCTGGTGCCGCGATGATGTGATTCAGCATCAACGAGAGGCCGATGTTATGTAGCCTTGGCGATGAAGCACTGTCATGGCAAAAAAGTGCACCAACCCTCAAAACACACACACACACACCCATCAGTTTGCTCGGCCAGTTTAACCCTGTAAACCTTTAAGCATTTTCTGGGTGTTTTTTTTTTTTTTTTCTGCTCCTGTTACATTTTGACTCACTGCAGGCTCATTTTTCAATGCAAATTAAAGTGCTGCAATTTTGTGGAAACTGCACAACCATGGCTAGAAGCAGAGAGAACGCAGAAGTATCTTGTGCAATGTGACACAGTCGTAATGTCATGACGCATAAAAAAAGAGAAAGTTGAGTTTCTTCAGTTACTTATTCCACATAAAGTAACGTAGAATCAACATATAGAGTATTTTCTTCCGAGGTGTTACCAATACTGGAAAAAAATACAAAAAACCAACAGATATTTTAGAGAATTTTCATTATGTGACTGTTGCTCAGAGCTGAGTCAGTCATGACGTCACGGTTTTGTGGAAGATCACAGAATTTCTTTTTTTGTTATTATTTTTTCTCACAGAAATGTAATTCTTTTAAACGAGAGACATAGAATATAGTGATGACATTTTGATAAAACATGATCATTTTAAGCTTAGATTTGGTTAACTCTCCTGATGAGACTGTGCATCAGTGATGAGTAGTTCAAGGACCGTCGGAAACTTGAAAATCCGATGATTCTCTCTGTTTTTACTGTTCCTGGCTTTGATAAATGGTGTAAATTAGCAGTTTTTGTATTTTTTAATTTTTTTGGTAAATCTGCAGTTTAAAACAAAACAGCCATTGAGTTTTGGGGTTCAGAAGTTTAAACCAGCCTTGTTTACACTGCAGTAAATCCATAAATCTA